TTAAATGTTTGCCAGAATTAAGGATGTTTTATACATATTTTCAAAGCGATAACAAAATTATGAAAAAATTACAGATTATTCTATATAAATCACGTTTAAAAATAATACACCAAATTTAGTAGACGGTTTACTATCTGGATCATAAATTATTTTAATAAATAGTAGTATTTTTTAAATCTGTGCTCTAATAAAAATGGAAATGTATTATAAAATAAATGATAAAAATCTCAATTTTTTAATATAAGTACATTATGTATTCAAGATTATTCACATAGAGTTACATTGCAATGCATGGACTAGTTGTCCAATAAATAAATAAAATATTTATTTGTTCTATGTCTTTGTAACTAATCGGTAAATCGTAATGAAACTGTATAAATTATTTTGAATATTTAAAATACTCATAAAAGAAAAATATAAATTTTTTAATAATTTTTCAAATTTTAATTTTTAACAAAAAAATAATTACAAATAAAATAAATAAACTACAAAAATGTGTTATTAAACAAAAATGTAATCTTATTAACACAACTTTCATATGTATATAGTTTATTTGAAGTGTAAATATTAAACATCTTCATACTTCCAAATTTAATTTTCTTTGCAGAGATTGTACGTCTAATACATCCTTAACATAAACTATTTTAAAAAATCAACAACACAAATTAATACAATAAACGCAAAATGATACTAGATCAAAAAATACTTTTCGCTTTGTTTATATACAATATTATTTCTTATATATAATAGAATATTTTTTTTATATTCTGTCTTATATCTGTATTATATCTATTATTTCTAGAACCTAGATTGCAATTGTAATATATTTATTATGAAGGACTTTTCTAAATTTATAAAATACAATTTTTTTTATATTCAAACTTTTTATTCCTAAAACTACCGATAGGTCACTCTCGACAGTATTACATGACAGTAAGAACATGATGCATAATACAAATAAAGTACCTATATAAAGAAAAGAAGAGCATCGCGAAGTGCCTTTATCTTTGCTTATCACATATTGTAAAACGACGTCGCATCGCCTACGTTTGACCATTTTTTTTTAATTCACGAGCGTGTAACAATTTTTTCCTTCTTGCCTTCGGGCGGAAACGACGACCACTCGGGACTCCGAGCTTTGAGCGAGCTCGGGTTGCCGTTTGCGGCTTTTCGCTTTCTCGCGAACTGCGAGGTGTGGCTATGGCTATGCGTGCGCGCCGCTCATTTGCGTCCATCCGACTTGAAGCCGTTAGCCGTGCTCTGCCTCTTTGTGTTTTTACCGCGTTTTTACATCTTGCTTATGCCTGTGTATTAATTATCTTCTGGCCCCGGAAGAGAGAGGTGATTTTTTTGATACGGTTTATCGGCGACATCGAACCGGTTGAGCCAAATGGGATTAAATAATGCTCTAATTAGCTTCGTGGATTACAGGAAGAAAACTCGGACTAGATTAAGAGATATAACGTCTTTTTTAGATGCTTATAACGTGATAGTCGGTAGAAATATATCTCATTTGCATTTTTTTTTTATTTCGAGCGACCATCATATTCGGATTGAAAATTGTATATTCATTCCAAAATTTTAAATTTTATACTAGCTACTAGAAAATAATTTAGAAAGACTAATTTTTGTATTTTGTCGATCTCTTTTTCATGGAAATTAAAAAAAAATTTTATGCTGAAAATATTTTAGTCAATAAAATATTATTTAGTATAAAGGATAGAAAGAATATTCAGATATATCATAATATTCAGAAATATTTGTTTTGTTATTCCTTTCAATAAAAACAATCACTATTTTTAGTTTGACTTTCGCAAAAATAATGTGTTTTTCCAGCATATTAAATAACATTCGGAAGTAGTCATTGTAATATTTATGAATATCTAACATCGTTCCGAGCAGTCAAAGTTAAAGCCAATGCGATTACATCAAGTGGTGCGCGGAATAACTCCGAATGGCATTGTTATCGTTTCACGCAGTCGAATTCGTGCGATTTGGAAAATCAAGGATTTTCACTTGTTTGAATCGATAAATGTGACACGTAACTCACAAGAAAAAGAAGCAAGAAGAGGATGCTCGCGTAACATGGCTCGATCGCGTCCACTCTTAATATTACCGTTACCTTGCGGTGTATCTAGTGCCGCCGAGGGGCATTTCACTCTCGAGTCAAACAATCATCGTTGCTCGACTCGCTCCTTATTTTCATTGAGCGTCCTTGTTTAACCTATAGGTTGAACAAAGACATCATCTATCGTATAAGTCGCGGACTAAGTGCACGGTGTAAACCAAGCTGTTGATTCGCGCTGACTTCTTGCTGACTTAACGTTTTTTAAACGCACCGACTCGCTAAGACTCGCACTGTGACTCGAGAGTGAAATGCCCCTCGAGTGCCGCCGCAAGAGCACTCTTCTTCCACTGAACGACAAGCATCCAATACTACCGTGCATGTGCATCTTCTGTCGCGTACGTATTTAACGTACTTGCACGCGCGAATGCACCGCGCTAATACACCAACGCGCATAATGCTCATAGATACATAATGTAAAGACAGAGAGAGAGCGAGTAAAGCCGAGTGAAGGATAACATTGAGAAGAAGAGACAAATGGAGAGAGAGAGAGAGAGAGAGAGAGAGAGAGAGAGAGAGAAGAGGAAGGAGCGGAAGAGATGAAGAGAGCCGGTAAATTAGGTGGGTATATCGTGCGGTTGTGAACGAGGACATTGGTATAGGATATGTAGGTACACCAACGTGGCGGCTACCATCGCGCGCCACGGTAGGAAGAGACTCGACGAGGCGAGCTAGAAGGGTGGCGAAGAGAGGGATCGACGGGAAACGGGAGGACGGAGGGAGTAGGCTATAAAGGCTAATTGGTTAAAAGCTCACCACTGGCTGCAGGCTTAAATCAAGATCTTGGAGTGTTATAATGGATAAGTAACACGGCGTGGCACGGCCACCGCCACCGGGTTGTGTGTTACCCCCACACACCCCGTCGCGCGTATTCCGCTTCTCCCGTTTCGCGCTATCCTTCTTTCCCTCTCTCCCCTCTCGCTCGCAGACCTCCACGTTCACGTCGCCTCGCGTATAACCACCCCGTTCACCCGCCGCCGCGCCGTGGCGCGGAACGTCGAGGGCGAGTATCTTTCGAGTTAAGGACGGCGCGACCGACGCGATTGGTCCGCGGCGAGAGTTACCCCAGCGGGTAGTCGTGTGCGGCACGAGTCATCGATCGCGCCTCCGTCCTATGAGAAATCCGGAAAGCCAACCCCTGGCAAGCCGTAAGCCCCGCCCCGCCACCTACCCCGGCCGCACCGACACCCCTTCCGGCAACTTGCAGCTTAGCCGTCCTCGCTCGCTTGCCACCCTCCGCTAAACTCCCCCTCCCCTCCAACTACCTTCCTCTCCCTGCTCCGCGCGCGCGTCAACGTGCTCCCTCCTGCCATCTTCCTCTGACACCCTCTAATTTATCCGCTCACCCCGTTCTAACGACTGCCGGCCCTTCCCCTCTCCCTTGCTCGCACCCCGCAGTCTAGCTATCGTGCGCGGCGCGCAATAACTACCCCCGTGACTCTCGAAGCGTGACTCCGAACCGTCCTTTCTCTCTATCTTACTCCTCGCCACTCTACTGTTCTCCCTCTTTCTTGCTATCGCGCCCCTCGCGCTCCTACCCTCTCGTCGTATGAGCGAACAAACGCGCGAGTGTACATATGTGAGCGCGAGCTAAGTGTGTGCGTTTACGCGTGTGCGAACGAATTTCTCCTCCGTCCGTGTGACCTGCGGTTTCTCCGGCGTTTTCCTACCCTTAGTAGTGCGAGCACAGTGCACCCATCGGCCGCGGCCCGTCACTCGCCGCGAAGCGTATCGCAGGACACGAGGGTGCTTGCGCATCGCTCTCTTTCTAATGTGAACGTGTAACCGAACGCGTTGTCAGCACGCGCCGACGCTCTAACGACACGCGCGCGAGTCGAAATTCCGACGCGACGCAACGCGACGAAACGCGACGCAACGCGACGCAACGCGGGTACAGCGTCATCACTTGTACGGACCGATGCGACTTTCTTACCAACTGCGAACTCTCCGTCCGAACGGCTAGATATACCGGAAAGAGTCTGAGCTCTTTCCGATTTTTTTGTCTCCTCAACGTCGCGCGAAAATCGCGGTTTCGGTCTCCAATCTAGACAGGGAGAAGAACCCCTGCATCACGATTACAACTCTCGAGCGATGACGACCGATACAATGCCGTCGGTTTGTGAGGAGTGATCGACAATCAGTGAAAGTGACTCGAGAAAATTTAAGTGACGGCACGATAGGGCACCTCGCCTCGATATTACTCACGCGGGAACGTTTTACGCTTACGCGGGTGGACGGTAAAGAGCGGAAAGCGAAAAGGAGAGAAGTTACGTATCAGGTTCTGGAACGGACATGTAGTGGTGAAAAAGGAGAGAGTAAGAGAGAAAGAGGGAGAGAGGTGAAGATAGAAAGAGGGGGTGTGGTAGGTGACGGAAGGACGATAGGGGGAGAGGGCGACTCCGCGAAGGGTGGGCCGTCCAAGTGTCTTGTCTCCTATCATCCTGTCGTCCAGGGTATCGCTTACGAATGTCGCGCGATCGAGCGATCCGTCTGCGATCCACGACGACGCGCGAGGACGTCCTGGCGACGGCCGCGCATCGACTACCGACGAGTCGCGCGATCAACCTCGTCTGAGTCAACGACAGCAACGCGCTCCACGTACCTGTGTGACATCCTGATATGTGATCGTCCGAGGTGGACAGTCGCCGGGTCGCGTTGCGCAAAACAACGGCGGATACCGCTTAACCGTCGACCGGTCGACGCCGGGTATCCCCTAATATAAACGAGTACCGAAGCGTCGACGACGAAAACGACGCGCGGCTATCATCAGGAACGAAAGCTCCGACCTTGTTCGAAAAATCGTATCGGGCTAGCTGGGCTAGCCACGGAAGAAGTGCCGCAGCGAGGAATCTCTCCCGACGGGCCGGCTCGAAGAATGTCCGGCGAAACGGAGATCGAAGTGTCGGTTGTGTCGGAAGAGGATCTGGAGCTGGAGGGTTCCAGGAGTAGCTCCACACCGGCGGAGCTGCTATTGCAGGAGAAGAACGGCAAATCTGGCTGCGGCCTGAGCAATCACCACCACTCCTTCAGCTTTGACACTGTGAGCAAGCCGGCGCTCAGGCCGGCCTGCAATCCGCAGTACACGTCCTTCAGTATCTCCAGCATCCTTGGCAGACCGGAATCGCCGCCCGTCGATTCGACGACTTCCACGGGATCTGGCGAGAGGCAGTCGTCGGACGTCGATCGGACGTCACCCCCGTTACCCCCAGCAAACTCGCAGAACTCGCAGAGGATCCCGCCGTCGTGCGGCAGCCCCGGCAGGATTTCATCCTCGCCCACATCCTTGAGACTGTCCGGCGGTCAACGCGGCGGATTGTCTACAGCCGGTCACACCGGACTGGAGCCCAGAGCGAATTCCGCGGGTATCGGTATTGGATGTGCTACCAGTGCTACCAGTCCAGCCGCGACCTTTTCGCCGCCCGGCGATGCCTCTACCAATCCACTACTAGGACACCAAGCGTCAGCGGATCTCGCGATGCTATCAAGGTAAATGGCTTTTGATTCAATTCTCTGAATTCCTTTGGAAATGGTAGACAAAATTTTATAAGATGACGAATTTCTAATTTTGTTACGATTCTAATTTTGACAAATTTCATGACAAAAAAGAGCTGCAAATATATAAGAAACTCTTGGACGATGGAGTACCTAAATCAGTTTTATAAAACGACCGCTCCTATACACCAGACTTCATCACTCAATCAATATACTATATATGATTAAATGTTTCTCATTATCACAATTTGCGAAAAGGTGTCTTGCAAATTTATTATTAATTTAGGTACGATACGAGCATACAAAATTATTGTCCTCGACGTTGCTATAATTATGAAAATTAGTAGAGCATTTAACATCACGTTACACTCATCAATTGCTATCGTTCGAAAATGTACAATTTCGTCATAGTACAGCTGTGTTTACGTTACTTAATATCTATGAAACTATAAAGGACCGAAGTGACGAATTGCTTCCGTCGAATTGAATAACTTCTGCATTATTTACGCACGTGGAGAATATTTTTAAAACTGAATGCAATATTTAGATAACGTTATGCGTCAATGAATTTTACATGTCTCGTTTAAAATAAAAGATAGACGATATATATAGAATGATGTCACACACGTTTATTCGAATGTAGTTTCGCTAAAGATGCCTGTTTCTTAGGAAGAAAGAAATATTGCCTATTTTCTCCTGTCGCTTCAATTTTGCATATTTTAATATTTCCATTTCTTTATACCTTGCTAAAAGAAAGGAATGTGCATTTAAGTTTAGATGAAGAATAAGCCTCTTTTTCGACTATTTATACTTCGCGACTCTTCGAGTTTCTTCGATCTTAATTGGTTATTGAAATCTTAAAAGCTGTTGACGTATCAAGAACTGTCAAAGTAATCAATCTTCTTTTTCTTTTAATTTCAAACGATCGCGATTTCTATGACATCCTGTAAGATTAGTATAAGCGCGCGAAGTAGCCTCTCGACAAAGAACTTATGAAAGTGAAACCTTGTGTTTCTAAATTCGGTCTTGAAAACGATTAGCAGTGGAAGCTTTGCGTCATTCCCAAGAATGGCATTTCATTTCTACGAACGCTTTTTCGCGAAGAATGGCACAACTAACTGGTTTCATTAATAAAGCGATACACATCGCAAGTATACTTCGCATCGTAAACACGTGTATAGCACGCATCGTTTATTGGTACACACGATACATACAAATACAATACCGTTACATTAAACTCAGTCAGATGCGGCAATGTGACCTTCGATTTTATAGGTTGGTGCCGCCAAAATAACTGGCCGAAATTCGAACCTTTATACTGATCGGCGATCGCCATTCATTTCACCGCATAGAACAGTACGTCAGTCACCCGAGTAAAATACATAAAACATGTTGATTTGTATTTATATAATTTAGTTTGTATTTACAATACGTGGTTAGCAAAATTCCTAACGGGCATTTGTGAAAGAAAAAAAGGAGAGGAAAAGAGCCTCTCTGCATAATTTAACGATTTAAACGCCATCGTTTAACGGCTAATTTAATGCCGTTGCCATTTAATATTAATGCAAAAGTGTCGGTAAATGGATTACTAATACTTGCTAATGATTAATTAATTCGTAACATCGTCGTTATTCATATTCGCCGCTCGCGTAATTGGCGGAATTGTTGAATAAATTAAGACCGCGCCCTCTCTCAGGCAATTAGAAACTCCGTCGCGCTAGCGTTTTCCACGATAAAAACACGCATTCGCAAAGCTTTGACCCGAGAGATTCGACAACACCATTGCGATAGATTAATATCCGACTCTTCACCACCGTTATTCGCATAATTATACACAAACACGTGTACGAATGCACGATGGGACGCGTTTCGCATTAGCGATGTATAAATTGCATTAACTGTATCACGCGCGTTAATAAGAGCATCCATTTAATAAAAATCGAGGGAACCTTAATTTTTACAATATGCAACGTTGTGATTATCATTAAAAAAAAACTTACGAAATTAATTAAAGAAAATACATATTTATGACATTTCAAAATTATAGCTCTCTCTCAATTTCGATTAATTTAAGAAGCTGATCTTCCTTAATTATACAAAGATATGTAAAAAAAATATCTTTTTTAGTAAAGGTCAATATCCTGGAAATATCTCAGTAATAAAACTTTGTTTTTAGTTAATTTCTCGTCGACTTTTAACAAAAACTTTACGAGTATTAAGACTTGCTTTTATCAAGAAGCTTAAAAATGAAGCTTAAAATTGAGCATTATCAAGTCAGAACGAGTTTTCTCCTCGACATCTTTAACTGAAAGAAAAATCGACTTCAAATTGTTCAAAGACGCTTGAGATATTTTTCGGTTGATGCGGAACAGTGTTTCACGACCCAATGTTCGCACCCGTCAACTTGGATTACCGGGCGGAAAGGATGTTTCCAGGGTCTTCGTAGCCGTGGACCGAAGATTTTCGTAGGCGTGAGCTTGCCCGGATCAAGATACACGACATATCACGGGGGTGGCGAAACAGTAAGGGGTAGCGACAACGAGCGAGCGCGTGCGGTGAGGATTATATTATGTGGGAATGGACCGACGAGGGGACCGTAATGGGCCTATTAGGCTGTCTCATTTAATAACAACCGTAGCAACAACACCACCCTCTTACATTACTTACGTTATTTAGGAGGACCCCCGCATGCTATCGGATATATCTACGAGGAATCCGAGCACACGGTACTGTGCCCGCCGCAAGGGGCAAGAGAGAGAGTTCGAGGGTTCGAGATGATTTTATCAGATTTACACCCCCTCCTCGATTGACGACCTACCTCCTCCCCCTCCCCCTGTTCCCGTTCTCATCCCCGTTCGCGCCCTTTCTCCGCGTCCTCGCCATGCTTGGCTGCCGACACGACGGCTACGATTGCTTGTTTTCCACCCGTTTACCATTTGATTAAGTTCCACTCGTATGCACCGTTGGGGTACACTTCACTAATAGAGAAAAGCCTCGTTGAGTGGGGCCCGTCACGCAAACGAACTTACCGCGGCAGATAAATGGTACCTAAACTTTGATAAACAGATTTTCTTTTCGCCAAAAGCGCATAGTTAATTCCATTTTCACTAAGAAATGGGAATTTTGGCATCATCCTTATGGCCAGTAAAACTCTTCAAAGTGTATGTGAATTATTTCTGATTTGTAAATATTTTTCTTTATCAAATCCATAAAGAATTTATTGATTAATATGCAATTGAACATATAACTGAACATATAATTCATTTAAAATTGGATAAATTAGACTTTTGGAAGGTTTTTGTTATACATCCATGTGATATGTGTGATAATACGAAAAAATAACCGACACGTTTTCTTCTTTAAATAACGGCGCTGAGGAAAGCACAAATCATATGCAAATACAATTTGCTAACAAAAAAAATACTATGACGTTACAAATTTCCTGGTAATGCACGACATAATTCACACATCACAAAGGGTTACGGAAGAGGCGCGTCTCGTTTGTAATAACCGCTCCGCGGCGATACGTAAAATTACAAATGCGTATATATTCCGTTCGGATCCATTTACGCGTTTAAATGCAATTCAACAAAAATTCGCGTGGTGGTATAGAATTACGCGATGATCGTGCGCGTTTGTGCAATTTTCACACATACATACGCACACGTAAAACGCGCGTGTCCAGGGCATAATTTTGCAAGCACGCTAATTAACGTCACGAGCAACCGGCAACCGAAATTTGTTACCGAAACGCGCGCATCGATAAGAGGAGGGGACGGCAAAAAATCAATTAGGCATAGAGTGCATAATGGATGCGGATAAAACGCCGTACGCGTATAGTCCAAGGTTAAGGAGCCTAAGATTCCCTCGAGAAACAGGCTACCTATCCCGTCGCCCATTTGCTGCCGAGTGAGCAGCCCTTACGTCTCTTCCGGGAGGAAGTGCGCAAGTTCTAGGCTCGATTTATTATTAAATCGCCGCTCTACACCAGCCTGAGATTCTCGTTCGTCAAGGTCGTGAAGAGAGAAGTTGGCGCCATGCGATCTCAGCAGAGCACTATCCATCTTCTATATATATGTATATATATATATATATATAACTTAACTGATCAAATAATAATATTTCTCTACAGGGGAGTAAGTACTCGCACAGGGATTTACGCGCTGGATACGCCCGGTATAACATGCGCGCTTTATGAAATTGTAACAATCGCATCTAACTTCTCTTTAATGCGCGACTTGAACCGAAAAGTTCTTCGTATCTTCGTAATTGACACATATACATCGTATTCTGAATACGTAAATCTTATTAAAGACGCCATCGACTTCGAATTAATTAAAATTGTAATTTCTAGTTTTACCAATAGCATATTTGAACTAGATATTTGTTATAATTTAATGTTAGTTTTGCAATTATACTGTGAAGAATGACTTAACGTTAGGATTAAAACGTTTGTCAATTCTAACTTTTAATTATGTTAATATAATTTTGAATTTGTTGTACGAACACTTAGGCTCACAGTCTCCTTTCTTATTTTGTTTGAATTTTAATCTGCTGAGTCTTTTTATATTTAATTAAACTTTTATATTTAATTAAAATTGTTATGTACATCAAATTCCTAAAGAAAACGGCGTATGTATTTATTCTGGAAAATTACGTTACGTTGGGACAAAGTAACTGGATTTCAACGCAAGCCCTATATATTTAGAAGAATTAATTATCTCTTCATGCACGTCCATCTTGTTCGTTCTCAATACGTTTCGAATTCGTTCGCGCGGTCCATTGATTCTGGCGCGGGGTATCGCGAAAATATTTTTTATTCGATTTGCTCGCGATTTCACGGAGGCTTACATTCAAAAAAACGTTACCGCGGGCACAGTAGGACCGCGAACAGAAGATCCGTCTGATATAATCCGCGACAGAGACTGCCTCGTTAATTACAGCACTGATGAATGATTCGTTAATTAGGGTGGATCGCGCTACAAGTTTCAAAGGAAGATACGATAAAGCATATTGTGTATGATCACCTATTCGCGAGCGATATGGATGTTTCGACGTTGGGAACAAATGCTCGGGATGAGCGATGGCGGCGGCAGTATGGATCACGGATCGTAATTGCGTTGAATACAATTTCCCTCCGATTTCATTCGACACTGCTTCGTCTACAAAGTAGCAAATCTTTGATTAAAAAATCACACAAAAAGACATGACTAACATAACCAGTCCAAACGTAATATATACAATATAAATATATATATAGCACATTAGCATCTAATATGTATCAATTTTAAGAAACTTATTATAATTATATCACAATTTTATATTATTTCTTCATAAAACTTTTAAATTTATCGAAAAATTTGTGTATCAAAAGACATCTTTACAGTAATAATAATTTTCTTTAAAATACAAATCGAGGCCAAGTTATTGCTGTAAACATGGAAATAGATTCATCGTTAAGTCTATCTCAAGCCAATAATATAATGAAGCCAGCTAGCGGATTTAGTCGAACGCTTTGAAAGCCAATAAATCGTTGTTGGGTCATCCTGACGACGCTTTATAAGACATAGTGTAACAATAGATTTCATCGTGTTGCAATTACACGCATGTATGGGAAAGAGAGAAATTAAAAATCGGATTAAAATAAATAATATGCAAAAGGAATATATGTATAAAAGAATGCTTCTTAACATTCTTTCCGAGTCGGTGTAATAAACATAACTTGAAAATTTATCCTATCCATCTACTTCTTTTCTATATTTATTTTTCCTCATTAATATCCGATAATTTATTTTTCACCGTTTTTTTCGTCCTTTTGTTTTTCATTTTTCTCAAGCACAACATGATGATTGCATGTTGAACATACAGATTGCAAACCGCTTTGGGCGCACTTTCGCTAGCGAACGCGATCGACTTCTCTTTCTTTGCTGCGCTCCTAACTACCCTCGGTGTAACGATACACGACGAAACGTATCGTATTACGAGCGATCGTTAACGGCATAAAGAGTTTATATTTGAGAATGGCACTTACTGAGCGCGCAAGCAGAGGTAGAATAATAATCAATAAAGCAAGCGGTATAACACGTCATTGAAGACACGGAGGGAAAATTTTAACGGAAATGCCCAATAAAGATAACTCGAGCACCTCGTATAAAAAATTTATGCAGGCCTAATGAAATAAATGCTAATACAAAAGAAACAAATTTAAAAAAAAAATTTTTATCGCGGTAAGTTGCAAATTAATATTTCTGCACATAATAAATTATATATATAGTAAATCTTTGAATAAATTTAAATCGAATTTTTCAATAGAAAAATCATAAAAAAGAATTTTAATTATCGTGATATTGAATTTTAGAAGATATAAAACCGATAATTTAAAAATCTATAGAGCAAACAAATAAGAAAATTTATTTTCCAATTAGTTTCAAGTTTGCCTTGTTAGAAATTTATTTCGTGGCTTCATTACGGATATGTACATATAACATTTAAAAGATTAAAATGTTACAACATGAATAAAAGTTATTAATTATTTTAAAAATCTTTTTTTAACTACTTTATAAGTAATAAAATATACAAACCTTTAATACATATCATTGAATTATTCGTGTCCTGCGAATTTCTTTTCTTTGATTTATATACAACAATTGTATATGACAATTTATAAATATACAACTTTACAAATACTTTCTAAAGATGTCAAAATATACGTAAAAATTGCTTGATAATTTTTATATACTTTTAAAAGTGATGAAAATTAATTCAGGACACAAAAGATCCATCGTGTGTAGTAAGGGTTAAGTTAAAAATGAAAATATTATTACATACAGAATCAAAAGGCTGCACAAAATAAAAAACTGGAAATCAAATATGAACGCTTAAATACAATTGTTACCCGAAAGATTATCGACAACAGAAGAGAAACAGAAATCAAAGGCGAGTCACGCGAATCAAATGCATGCTTGATGAGAGATTCGAGAGAGCGCGTTAAAGAGAAGTATCGTTGAGAAAAGTCCTTGAGTGCTTACCTACGTAGAGAGTAAAACTTGTAAACCTAGTCAGCCACGTCGAGTGTTCGCGGCCGTCTAAGACGTAAGACCTGCAGAATTAGGCAGTAAATGGTGGTGGATCTCTCCACCGAGAGAGATCCGAGTGTTTGGTGTTTATACCTGCTCCTTCAGAGAAGGGTCCCTGAATGCTTACAAAACAGGCGGTTGTCAGATTTCCTTTATCTTTTCCGGAGCATTTGTGTGTACCCGGGCCGTCATTTCTCCTCTCCCGTTAGCCGCGCGAAGCCTTCTTGAGAATACCTCGATATCTCGTCTCGATACTGGGAGAATCGTGGGGAAGAGGCGCACCAAAGATCGCGTGTCGTTGAGGAATTCTCTTAGGAAGGGTCTTAATTCCTCCTTTACTTCAGTCCTAGGCAGTTTCGTCGTCGTCATCGTTGTCGTTATATTGTTGTGTCGTATCCATCACCTAACGTGACTTCCTCCTAGTGATAAACGATTGACACGTGGAATCAACACGGCATTAACTCATAAATGCGAGTATCGCTGACTCGTTGATACAAGAAGATAAAGTTAAAAAGAAGATCAATCAATTCAACGAATAAGAGTAAATTTTGCAGACCTTAGTTGCACCTCTTGGTTGAAGAACGGAAAGTGTTCGCATTTTATAACGTTTTTACTGTCTATCTAATTGAATTCTATAGCTTCTCAAGACAATATCAAATTATAGAATTTTTTTAAGCATATTAACCGACATTATTACTAGATTTCTTAAGAAATTGTATTACATTATCTCAAGATGAAGAGTAAAGAATATTTTCGGATAAATTTGCAAAATAAATGTAACCAACTATTAAACTGATGGTATCCCAAGGTGGAACATTGGAGTAAATAAATTGTTTACCATATCTACATCGCAAACGAGGCTAAAATGGGCATAAAATGCTACTCATACGATGGCAAACAAAGTCAAATGCGCTTTCATGTGGCGAGCGCGTATCGAAACGAGATCAGATCGCTCGTCGCAGACGGACTACAACGGGGAAGCGAGGAAGAAACACGGGAAAGTACTAGGGCTTCCGAAGCCTCCTCGGCCCACATGCTTGACCAACCTGCCCTGCCTGCCGATATCGGCCAGTCGACTGGCGGATCCTGCTTGCCTATATTTCTGTTCACCACAAATCGGTTAAGTTTCGGCGCATGCAGCTGCAACAATGGCGCTTAGCTGCGATCGGAAGTAACGATCGAAAGAGAGATAGAGAGAGAGAAAAGCAGCGATAAGCGGCGAAATAACAATCAGAGAACAATTAATCGTGAGGACCCAAAGACAGATTTACCGATAAGCGATCTAATGATTCCGACCAAAACAAAGCCACTAAATTCGCAAAATTTCAGAGAAGTTTTATTATATTATTTTGTTAACATTGTTATATTGATGTTGTATTTACGTATATAATTTTTTTAAGAAACAAATATTGGAAACTGCGTTATGATTAAAAATAATTTTAACACATTGGATGCTGACTCTAATTCGTTTGTCCCTCTAAGCAACGCCGGAGTGAAATTTTCATACTGTGTTGGATTTGTATCAATAAAATATACGATTGAATTATGCAAAATTATGACATCCATAGTTTATTACTTTATACTATTACTTTAATATTAACTATATTTAGAAATGTTATTTTGCACGAATTTTGTATATTTTGTGAATTTGGTAGCGACGGGTCAGACGGGTCACCAATCACTGGTGATCGGCAAGGCGCCACTAAAAATTCAAGTGCCGTTTACTAGTGACCAGCACAGCATTCAACGTGTTAATCAAGGTTTCCGCATAAAGCTGCTACTGAATTTGCCACCGGAAGGGTCCGCGACGCAGGTATGCTTTTCCCCTGGTCAACGCGACGATTTTCTCGAGAGCTTCTTGCTCTAAGCGGATTTTTGCTCTTAATAACCAGTCGAGCGTTTATTCGTAGCACGTCCAGCTATTGTTGCGGTGCAAACACCGTTTCCAAATATATTCTATTCAGTGAAGAGCTTTGCTTTCTCCCGAGTGGTTGAGTAAATCCGAATGGTAATAGCCGTCGGCTACGAGCGACGGCACTTATCCCGAACGTAACGATCCCGCATGCTCCAACTATACCCACACATAGACTCTATTCGTATATTTATGTGAGGCGACGGTTCATAAATTCTTTTATAAACAAAGCTAAAGATCATACTCGACTTGTTCGTGACGTTCGGTTATTTCTTTTTTAATCGCATATTAAACGAAACTCACGAACTTGGCACGATCTGTCTACCAATTGATACTTGACGTTTAATTACTCCTATTATTCTTCACGTTGCTTGGCGTTCGCATCATGTTATAATAATTTAATTATATTTAACTATTAAGAAAAACTATTATAAGATTATATTAATGTATAAATATATGTATAAATCTTTCATGTCTTAAAAAATATTCATCGATTGATAATCGTTATAACAAAAAAATCTATCCAAAAATTAGAATTCTGAAGAGTAAAGTTCCCTGCATATAAATGTATGAAAAAAAATGTTTTAATTTCTTAGAAAGTCAATTGAAAACTGGATATCCTTTGCTTTCAATCGCTTCTGATTTCAAGAAACTATCTACGTCTCAACATTTTAGTTAAAAAAAACTCCGGAGATCAATCGATTCATTCTTAATTAAAATCAAAGTTAAGTTTATATATATCTAAAATTTATATAGAATTTACTAAACTAAAATCTTTATTGCAAAAGAATCTTGCTTCTCTTGTTGATTTTAATTATTATTATTATTCGTAAATCCTTGAATCTATATTACATCATATTTAATAAACTTTTGCCACCTCGTGTTGTAGATTGATAGCAAGTCGATATCCGGTCGGCATCGGCGGCCTGTTCTACCCATCGACACTACAGCATCTCCATCAGCAGCAACAACAGCAGCATCAGCATCATTCGCGGCTGGCCGCCGCGGCTTCGTCCGCCCTCAGCAATGCCGTGCAGGTTGCCGGCCAATCACCGGACATTGTCGACGCCGACGGCATTCGTGGAGTTCTACTTGGCGGTGCCGGCTGGCCGTTTCCATGGAGGCCGGCGCACAGCTTGCAGACGCTCGAGCATCCCTCGCCAAGCGACGTGGTCGGCACCCTCAACCGCGTCAGTCCCGCGTCCGCATCTTTTCCTCAGCGAGGTGAGTTCGATTCCCTTTCCTGCCCCTCGCGTACTCAGGCAGATCGAGACGGCTTATTAAGGATAATCCGAGGGAAAACGCGCGCCGTGGTCGAAAGGAGATGTTAACATTGTTTCGCAACTGAGGTCTGGAACATCGGCTTTCGCCGAGTCAGACAAAAGTAATCTGAAGCTCTCTTTTTTGAAATTTTTTGATTAAGTGGAAACCGAAACATGTAACGAAACGAGATGTTTTATGTCTGATGTGTCCTATAATAGACTTTCCTTAATTATTATTTAATAATAATTATTATAATAATTAAATTATTCTAAAGGAAGCTAGAATATTTATCTATATCTCAAAAATGTACCTCTGAGAAAAATAAATAAATAAATGTTTTTGATTACATAAAAATTTTATTACTTCTCTCTGCTTGATATAATAATATAAAATTTTCTCAGTTTGATCAACTCCAAAAATGTTTTCAACCAAAGAAATTTCTAAAATATGTTAGACACACCAAGATGCACAGACTGATATTTCAAGATGATTGAACCGTGGAATCGCTAACTCGTATAGATCGCGAAGAAAATGTGAAGGAAAACGAAGGTTAACGCGGGGGACCTCTATAGATATACAGATATATTGTCTGCGTGCGCGTTATAGACGCGCTCGTGTATCTATGTATCTTCGCGTATACAACTACGCGTAAGGCTTCCACGGCTTCCATCATGACAAACCAACGTCGATCGTCTTACCCAACGATCGTTTTGCTTCTACCACCTTGCCTAAGCACTTAGGCAGTTACCATTCCCACCTATAGACACACTTGCACAATCACCAGTCCTATCTTACAACGCTAAATTCTTTAACAGTATGATAATGATAATAACGACTGCTTGGTTGCGTTATTTTTGTTTTTATATAAATCTTGATACGGCTGAAAATAAAATTTTCTTTGAAATCAGCAATTTTTTCGAAAATAAGCAAATATATTTAAAACAATTGTATAGAAAAAATGGGAAGAAAAAAAAGAGAAAATATATTTAAGGCTGTATACGAAATCAACAGATTTTTTAATAAATCTTGTTTTAATGGTAATAATAATGATTCTCACTTTACGAACAAAAAAAGTTGAAAAGCACATGTTTTTAAAAATATGTTCTGCTCGATTATATTTCCGGTATAACAAATATCAAATTATTGATTATAAAAATGTATCGTATCTAGTTTCGTTTCAGCCGACTTTTTGTCTGTGCCACAACGATCATTTGTAGAGAGAAAGGATTAAACATTCTACACACATATTAATGACATTTTGTCGCTAAAAATAAAACGATCATATTTATCCTCGATTTTGCGTATACGGAATATCGCACACCAATTAAAAGACACAATAATAGAGAAAATATTTGTAGGAAATGAATAAATTATTGCATGTTTTATTGTTTCCTTCATGTTCTCATCGCAAAAGACATACGATTGTATAACGGTATTTTATACAAATATGTAGGTATACATCGCAAATAATGTCATTGGATGATGCATTTGCATCGATAGCGGCATAGGGAATTCAATACGCAGCAATTATGTCAAAATGGATTAATAGAATATTAATTAGCATTCTATTAATTGATTAAATATTCAATACGGATAGAGAAATGTATAATGGCGATTTATCGGAGCGCGCGTGAGAGAGAATTTGTAAATTCAAAGCGCTCTCACCGGACTGATTGACGTATACGGATCGCGTTTAAAAAGAAAAGCGATTAACGCGGTTACCTTTCTCTCGTTAACGATTTGATTATATCGATAAATATACATGATGTGTCTTTCATACTTCACGCACATTACAAATATCATTATTCGTTATCGTTATATGATATCGCAATTCTCTGATCTCCGCGAATTTTTGCGCCATTAATCAGACTTATCCCGCGTTACTTGTTAAGAATAATCCCAGTTGAAGGATAATAATCCTCGTAAATAAAAAGATCTTTGTTTCAGTAACTTGTGAAACAAAAGAGATAATTAACAGAAAAATATAACTCTACGAGGAGCTATCGATTCTAAATAAAAAGTGTCCGGAAGCTTTTAATTGTGAGCAAAGATAATTGCATTGGAAGAGGAAAGTAATTATAATTTTCTTTGTTTAAAAAACGTTATATATATAACAATTTTAAGAGAAAATTCGTGTCTATTGATTGCAACGATATAATAATATTGATAATAATCGATAAGTATAAATATATAAGCGAGAATAGTTTCGATAGGTTCTAAAACAACAAAGACACATGAAAAAAAATTCGAAATAAATACATATGTGAAAATTACATATTTTTTACATTGAAAGGCAGTTTATAAATAGAGAAGCTGTACAGTGATTGAAATCAACACGTGTATCTTCCTCCAGACGAACTCGACGATGACAACGCCGATGATCGTCTACACCGCGCGAGGAGTCCATCAAGTGGTGACGAGGCACACGACGATCTTGGTGAAGTTGACGACTGTGCGGATGCCGACGGTGAAGGCGAGTCCACGTCGACAAGTCTCCATGGCACTTCGGTGGGCGGTGGTGGTGGTGGTGGTGGTGGTGGCGGCGGCGGTGGTGGTGGCGGTGGCAACGGCAATAGTAACGGTCAAAATAACGTGCAAGTTGGCGTAGACGGTCGCGAGTCGAATAGCATAAAGCGCAAGAAGAAGACTAGGACAGTGTTCTCTCGGTCGCAAGTGTTCCAACTGGAGAGCACGTTTGACATGAAGCGCTACCTTTCGTCGTCGGAGCGCGCCGGTCTCGCGGCCTCGCTCAGGCTGACAGAGACCCAAGTGAAAATTTGGTTCCAAAATCGGCGGAACAAGTGGAAACGGCAGCTGGCCGCTGAGCTGGAGGCGGCGAACATGGCCCATGCCACCCAGAGGCTAGTCAGAGTGCCGATTCTGTACCACGAAGCGTCAGCCAGCACTGGCGCTTCCGCTGGCGTGTCGGTGACGGCGCCGGGACAACCGGGACCCCCGGTGTCCTCGGTAGGTACCTCCGCCCTGTCGCACTCGGTCGGCGTCGGAGTGGGCGTCGGTGTTGGTGTCGGTGTCGGCGTCGGCACCTCGTGCGCGCCCACCACGGCGCAGCCCATCTTCTACTCCCATCACCATCAACATCACCATCACCACCCGGCGGCGGCTCACGTGCAGGCGCACAGTCTCTTGTCCCATCAGGTGCACCCGCAACCGCCGCCCCCGCCTCCGCCGCCGCCCAACGGCCAACCACCGCGGACGTCCTCGCAATAACACCGTCCGACGACTTACGAGGGTAGCGTGCGGTTGCTGCGGGAGACGACGACCCTGAACAGGATGATCTCCGTGAACGATGCGACGGCGACGCCTTCTCGGCTTGACCGCGCCGTCTGGCTGATCGATGTCGAGTGAACGCACGCACGGGCTCTCTCGACACGGGCCTCTGATCGTTCTGCGACATCCCCTGATCGATCCCGCGATACCACGGACACGGCACGGCTGTCCCCTCGGCGGTAATTCGAGAGCGTTGGAATTTTAAAATGCTTTTCTAATGCAGACCGTGGACGATGTGGATAAATGTGAGTATGCGCGAGAAATGTAGAGTTTTGATTCGCTTTTATATCTCAATTATATAAGAAAGATTATCTCATACAATTTCAATTGTACTCATATTCTACTTTATTTATAAATGAGTGACACGTTCTAGTGATGATCATTTTACTGAAAACATTTGTATAAATGTATAAGAATTTTCTCTCGTGATTGTGTATTCATAATTACTAGGGAAGCTATATATATATATATATATATAATCTAAAATACTCATAGATAAAAGGATATATAAAAATATTTTACTTATGCAAATTTTAATAATATAATAGCAATAAATAAAATTATTGTTAAAATATTATTTCCGTTAGAATATAAACTCAATAAGTTGAAACTCTACGTTTTCTGAGCATAGTAAGCTAATATTCATGTCTATTCACATCTTTGTTATTATCTAGAAAAGTATTATCTCTTGCAAATAATTTCGTAAAATTATTTTTGATGCTCGATAAAAAGGCTTTATATAAGTCAATTTGTTCACCTCGAAATAAATTACCAAAAAGAATGTGCTAAATTGATACAATATATCACATTATCATAAAAATGATATTATATTTAGCATTGGAGAATGGATATCCCATTTTTTAGTCATTTTATCTTTTCAAGAAAAAGCAAGACATTTTGACTTATATCTTTTTCCATCGAGCCGTAGAAATATTTGTGCTAGTCCGCAATTATGCAGAGAACTGAACTGTGATTATAATGATTTTGTGTCGCTTCCATGAACTACGGGTGACGAAAGCTGGTTACGAATTCATACGGTTTCCCTTCCGATTTGTCGAGATATAATAATAGCGCATCGTTCCTTGTTCCACTCAGTTTGTCAATGTATTAAAACAGGATGCAAAATTTCATGGTACCGCAATTGACGGACGGAAATTAGAAATCTGTTTATGTTTGAGAATTCTCGATATATATACCTGGAATCTTTGTAAATAGTATAATATATATTGATAGCGATTCTTCGATTTTGTGCGTGAAGAAAAACGATTTGCGCGGATACGAGAAGAAAAATTTTTAAACCGTCCCTGATTGTGCGACGCCCGATATTTTAATTATAGTCGATTACCGTATCCTTTTCTCTGATTCCGTATCGTTTCTCCTGTAAATAGTCTTTACGCAAAGTGTAAATTCGTATTTGGAATTATGTGCGCCGAGGGGAACGCACTGTGAGCCAGTGATCGGAAAAACTCCGTTAATATAATTCAGGGATTAAAATCGATGCAACTTCAATGAGTTCAATTTTCGATAGATGAGAGATAGTGACCCTCACGCCAATGTCGCATTTTCATCTGCGCGAATATAAGCGCGGAGAAAAACGATTTCCACATGTGTATCTACAGAAATTTGAACTTGCTGAAATTGCACCGGTATAATGCCTGATGTAATCGGGATTCGCTGTGGTTGTAAAATTGAACATACATGTATGACATATATACATAGACACGCAGCAACAGACAAACGTATACAACATAAGACACAGGCAGGGTTCCTACGATATATTCTACCTGTTGTGATAAGTATCTAAACGAATAATTTTATTAAACAGAACGGTAGAGCTATGAAAATATCGCCTCTCTTACATTATATATTACCTATCTATAGACGTCAATTAAGGAGAAGGTTCGCCATACCGTGTTTTATACGGATATTTGTGATCCGGAATCTCTTATTGTATAGCCGACCGTTTCGTAACCGCTAAATAATGATCGTTGAACCATACAATACACGTCGTTCAAATTTCCTCTACTTAAAATCTGTATCGAGCTGATCTACATTGACGATCATCGAGCTTGGTGTGAGGTAATGGGCAAACGTTCCTAGACTCAACGATATTCGGCGAGATCGACAAACGATCGAATAAAAATGCGAATACGTTTAAATTGCACTTTTTTTATTATGACGCCCATAAAGAGATAGCAACGGAACAATGGAACGCGCATCGGCGGTGTTCACATAAAAATATTAAAAATATCCGAACTCCGCGCGGGATTAAAATTAATTGTTGTGTGGCTTCACAAGATGCCTCCCTATAAACAAATTGACACAGAAATAAAACATAGTATTCCGCTTTCAAAATAAAATCAATGAATGGATTCTTTGATGAAATCACCATTCGAACAGATCGAGAAGCACAGTTGATAAAATCTATTAATTCACATTTATATCACCGTCTGTACTGTCTCATAGAGATGAAATGAAGGATAAAATTCATGGAGTGCAAAAGATGCTTATTTTGTTCTATTTTACAAGTTTCTAAATTTCTTACGGATGTGTGGAACGTCAAAAGAATGATACAACGTTATGAATTCTCTGAAAATAGCAAGTTAAAGATATCCATATCTTCTCTATGAAATCCTAGAATTTATAAACGGAGATGCACGTTCGTGCATCTAAACATTTTTCACAAAAAAGCAACAATCATTAATTCACTGCCAATTTGCGAAAAGCTTTTTCTTTGAGCAATAAACCAGTAAACTGTAAGTAATATTAACGAGACGGTACTTAGAAGAAAAACTTAAATCAAGTCATGCATGAATCATTTCTTACGGATCCGATAAATTGCGCTTCGAAAGATCTTAACTTTAAAATCATCAGCTGGAAATAGAACGATAAAAAATAAAACTGTCAGCGAAACTTCAACACATCTCAGGGAAAAAAGTACTCATATTTCTAGTCAATATTTTTACACTGAGAGAAAACTAAATAGTTTTAGCAACTATAAATTTGGCAACTTTTGCAATTGAAGTACCTGTAACTAGTTTTACAAAGTAATAGAAACTAAAGTAGTGCTGAATGTCATAAAAATATAGTCACGGTAACAAATTGTATGCACTATTAATTGGTAGTGAAATAGTGACTCAACTACATTGAGTAGTTACTTGAACTTCATGCAAATAGATATAACAATTACATTTTTCTAGTGTAGACAAAAATTTTTAAAGGGTCGCTCAGTACGAGTAGTACGCGGCTTTGTCACCAGAGGGATGTAGCGGAGTTCAGTTTCTTCTAAGAAGGAAATCAGCTTACAATAAAAGACGCAGCGTTGGTTTCAAACTTGGAAGACAAAAATAAATAAGAAATGCATACACAAATTTGTAACTATGTATTATAAAGCTTTAATAACAACAATAAGTAAATTAAGTGAACTAAGAAAATATAGTAATATTAACCATTTATAAATTGATTATATGGTTAATGTATTATATTTTCTTAGTTCACTTAATCTAGTATTCTTATTAGAATTTAATAATATATATATAGTTGAGGCGCTATTTCACTACAAATTTATAGTTACTGATACGACTTTTTTCTCTGAGTGTAGATATTTATTGAACATTCGTTGCAATGCGTTTCGCTTAGGTAGGTAAGTATATAAATATTCTTTGTTTCTTAGGCAAAATTTGTCTACATAATGTATTTAAAAATTTATATATCAGAATATTTAAAAAATGCAAGAGAGTATTTATCAAACGTTTTATAATGCGGCCTGTCGCTGCGTAATCAAAAACACGTAAATTAATTACTTACTTGTAACTTTTCGCATCGCTCACGTACTCGTGAAGTGCGTTACACATGAGCAACTTGCGCATAAGTATTTACGCAAGTCGTTCCTTTGTTCTAAAACGATAAAGTTAGCAGCGTAATCACGAGGGACAATGCACCTACACAGCAGTTGGCACAGACGACGTACCCTGAGTAACGTAAGTACATGCACTTCAATCAATGCGTTCTCACGTCATCGCACTTTCGTCTCTTTTCTAATCCCTGATCTCTCTACATCTGCCTTTTTATCCATAAATTCTCTCTTTCTCCTTCCCTATTTTTTATTTTTATTTCTCGCCTACTGTTAGTATCCACTCGATATCCATGCTTTTGTCGTCATTCTCGTCGCAATTCTGATCTTGTTTCGCGGCATCCGCAGCGCATCTTCATGGATCGAACGAAATCGTTGATATCGAGATGAAACTGTTTAGCGTCTTTATCCGTTTCTCCACGGTTGTTTTCTACGCGACGTATACTCTCTATGATCGAACTTGCGTTGTACAATCATCTATATCGGATACGGATATACGGGAAATGACAGATATCTCTTGAATATTGAATGTCTGAATATATTGCGGGACATTTCGGTACTCAATAGATATTCGAGATGTGATCACTGGATATCTGTGTTGCATCCGTAAGAATGAATTTGTGGGTACATATGGAAAATAATAAATTCTGATAAAATAAAATAAAGACTTATTAGACATTTATATCTATATATTTTTTAATTTCCTCTTTGTGATTAAGATTTGTATGTATTTAACAATAGTACCTTTTTAATTACACGTATAGAAAACTATCTTTACAAGCTATTGCTTTTATAAATAATTTATATATATATAAAGAATTTTATAATAAAAACTTACAATAATATATCGACAAGATTGTAAAAGCGATATACTAAGTCATTCAAGCAGATTTTTAAAGTTTTTACGTCGTATAAGCTTGATCCATTTCCAAGATTGCATCACACCTAATGGCTTCGTGAAGTCGACTATACACAAAAATATATTTCGATAGATATATCGCAGATATATTGGAGACCATCCGCAAACATTTTCGCAAGACTTTTGTTGTTCATAAACGGAGAGCAAAAAACTATCTGTGTATAACGCATCGTATTGTACAAAAAACAAAAAGAAAAAGCAACCGTCTCGTTACGGAAAAATATCAAAATTGCACACAGATAGAGAATATATGTATAAAATT